CACCCACAAAGCTAGTTGCTAGTTGTTACCAGTGTTTTAAATACCGTACCGGTGGCCATACCGGTCTACCCACCGGTACGCGGTATTACCGGTACGACCGGTAATATCGGTGGTATTACCGGACTAGCAAATATAATAATATATATATTTATTTATAAAAATATATAATACCAAATAAAAAAAATAAAAAATAAATGATCATAATCATTAATTTTAACTTACCAATGAAATAAAATAAAACATTCTAACTACCAATTTAAATTTTATGTTTTTAAATTAAAAAAAAATATTTTTTATTTTTTTTTTTAATTTTTTTTTTCATGGCCGGTATTTTGGACCGGTTTTTCCCGGTATTTACGGTACAATACCGGTACAAAACGGTATTACCGAAAATCCGGTATTTTGTGTGTTTTTGTACCGTACCTAAGGCCGGTAACCGGTAATACCGGTATTACCGGCCGGTACGGTACGGTTTTTTAAACACTGGTTGTTACCATCTCCAACCAAATATACCATTTGATTTAAAAGATTGATGTGAGTGGACTAAGCAGATCAAAATTGATTAAATAATTTATTTAATTTTAGTCTAAAGTTGTGGATACCAAAGCAGGGTGAGCCTAAATGGGCCTTAGTTGAGTTTCATCCTAAAACCAATTGATGGCAGAAGAAGTAGCCCACTAAGTTTATAAGTTAAGCCTATTTTCTTTATAAAGACGATGTGAGACAACTCACAAGTGTATATTATAATTTAGACCAAAAAAAAAAACTACTCAACATGTTCAACATTTCCACTAATAAAGTAATAAATAAACGTGGATAGGGTGGGAATTAGGATTTAATTTAATTGAGAGGAATAGCTCATAATTTAATTTGCCTTTGTATAATATAATTGAGTGGTTTTTAAAATAAATTCCAAAATCAAATTTTTATTTGTTAAATGTATTTTTCATACAAAACTGAAAACTTACAGCTTTCATCCTAGAGGAATATATATAACTCAACAATAAAATACAAGTTTTTGAAAAACAGCTGTGCTGTGAGAGCGCATCCGTCAACTCCCGTTTTTTCATGGTATCAGAGCAAGTTCACCCAACTCAATTGGGTTTGTGCCTATTAGACCATGCAATGACGTACACGTCACTCAACCCAATTAGACTTGGACCTCATATAAAAGACTCACAAGTTAAAATATACACTTTTGAATTGTCTAGACTCGCCTTATTTGAGAAATGCTACAAGTACGTAATATTGTATATAAGGATGTGCATAACACTCACATTGAATCAGACCTACCAAAAATTAAAAAATCAAGGGACTCCACTCCATTGAGTGTTATGTACACACTTTATGTACATTTATTATGTACCATTTTTCAATTTCTTCGAACCGGGCATGGAAAATGTTTACATGGATTAAAAATTTAAATATATAATGATGGAGTAATAATTATATAATAATTCATATTCGAATCTTGTCCCACATTCCAAGTCATTTGTCACATTCAAATTTCTCTCATCTTCTTTTAATGAATAACATAATATGCTTATCTCAATTGACCAGATGGGAATTCAAATGAGACACTTTAATCCATAAAATAAAATTATTGAACCCACACATTATAAGCTCTATTCATTTATGGGATAATTCAGAATTAGGACTTCAACGGAATATTTCAACCAAAAAAAAAAATCATGTTAAAAATATTTTGTTATAAGGACAAATTATTTTATTTGAAAACTACTTTATGTGCAAAACTTGAATTTTGGTAAGAATATATTTGATGGTTGTTTTATTTAAAACAAATATTTTTTAGTTTTGTTTTTATAATAAATATTCTACGAGTGTCTATATAACACTTTGCTCTAATAAAAAAATTGCTATTTTAGATATTTTTTTAAAGAAAATTCCGTCTCCAATTTTACGGATACAGAATAACAATTTTGCTATGGAGCAATCGGATGACTCGACTTATGGAGTTATTCATTGTTATTCACAAATATTTATTGATACGTGTCCTCCAATAAATAAATATTTGACATGTGTCGGTACATAAAGTTATGGATGATTTCATAAGGGAGTTGCCAGGAGAGGAAAAGTGTAATTGAGAAGAGAAATAAGACAAGGCAGACATCGAATGGATCCATAAAATTACTATACACCTTCATTTATTTTGATCTTTCACTTGCAAAATCTTTATATTTTCCAAGTTGATTATCGTGATTATATCGCCTCAATTATTATAAGTTTTATGCTTTGTGGTGCAACATTGTTAAATATATAGGCACATATATGCTTTCAAAATGGGTAAAATGCACCAAACCCTCCTGTAATATACTAAATCTGCGTGTTATCCTCTCTATTTTAAAAAATGCGTCAAACCCTCTTCTATTGTAGTTTGGCTAGCACACCACCCCCTTCATCTTAGACGGTTTAGGGTGTTCCGCGCAAGTCAAACTACAATAAAAGAGGGTTTGACGCATTTTTTAAAATAGAGGGGATAACACGCAGATTTAGTATATTACAGGGGGGTTTGGTGCATTTTACCCCCTTTCAAAACGTACCCAATTTTTTATATTAAAATATCATATTTCAAAAAATAATATAAAAATAGCAATATTTGACAACATAAATTTATATTTTGTTCAAAAAGTATGCAACTTTGAACAGACTTTAAACTTGCAAATTTATTGTGAGTCTTCTGTTACAAAGCCTAACCTGCTGTACATTAAGATCAGGCCCAAAATAAGGTACAAAGCCTAACAAGCTGTACATAAAGATCTGGCCCAAAATAAGTACAAGGCCTAACAAGCTGTACATAAAGGATCTGGCCCAAAATAGCGCTTGTAATCCAAGCCCAATGCCACAAACCAATCCAAACTCTTGATGTGTGCTGCTTATTTTCACGTTGCTGCATAACAATTTTAAACAACATTGAGCTGAGTAGTACTTCACATCCTCGGCCTATATATAATTTCAGAATGCGCTGAGCCTACGTGGTTGCTTCTGATGTAGGGATATCCATAAAATTCATATGGTCGGATTACCCACGGGTTACCCGCATTTTCGGGTCGGGTAAACCCGAGACGATCGGGTTTTGGGTCGGGTTTGGGTAGAGTTATTCTACCCGAACTCCGGGTCGGGTCGGGTACGGGTATAGTAGAAAAACCCGCTACCCGACCCGATTACCCTACCCGTTTACCCGCAACCATTGAATATTATATATACACATATATATGTATTTATAAATTATTACAAATATAAAAGTAGTCATGTGTTAATAGTGTAAAAATTAGATTATTTATTATAAGTTTGATTAATGGTTAATTTTTTTTATGATTTTATATCAATTTTTGTTAATTGTATGATAAAAATTTAAATACTTAATTTTTAAATATAATATTATTAAATTGATTATACAAGATAAATAATTATATCTCATTATTTATTCCAAAAATAATATAATAGTTTTTTATAGTTTTTTATTGTCGAACTTAGTTAATAAATTGTTTGTTACATTATAATTAATTGTGAAATTATTTTATTTTATTTTTAATATGAAACGAGACGGATCTAGTAAAGCCCAAATTTAAAAACTCGGGTTACCCATTTACCCGAAGAAAACCCACTAACCCGCCGGGTAAAACCCAACCCGAACACGAAAATCACCAACCGGGTAACGGGTCGGGTTTGGGTAGGGTAAATTACCTGCGGGTCGGGTGCAGGTTTGTCAAAACCCGTACCCGACCCGACCCATTTACATCCCTATTCTGGTGCTTCGGAATCCTATTTGGCGAAGAATCATGATTCGTAATTAGGTTTGGATAAATAATATTGATATATTAATAATTAATAATCTAGGTTCGGGTATTCCATAAATATTATTTAGCTAACTTAGGTATTTTAATATCACTTTTACTAATATAACCCTTTAATTCTTTGTAATTTTACATTGTGAGACACTAAATGACTAATATATCCCTGAATTTTGATTTGTTTCCTTCAATAAGCTATTGAATTATAAATGTATTTTAAAAGTTTATAACTTTTGTATTTCTTATCGGTTTTACATATATAGTATATCAAATTAATCATCTTTTGATGATCTTCGATTTGACATCCATATTGTATATATGAAATAAATAAATTATATTTATCTTTATAATAATAAAAAATAATAATATTTATTAAAATTCATTAGAAAAATAAAATTATTTTTCAATTGATATATTTATATGTAATGTAGTTATATATTGTAAGTTAAAAAAAAAGTATAATATAACACAAGTAAGTTGCACAAATAAAAAGTGTCATAATAAATATATAATAATATATATATTCTTATAAAAACTATTTAAATTTTCAAACTATTTTTTCTCATTAATTAAAGATTTTAAGAAAAAAAATTAGCAAACACTCGTGTAATACACGGGTGTTGTACTAGTTTTAATTATATTGAAATGAATCACACGCACCCGCATCTATATGTGTGTTGTGTCTGATCAAACGGTAAAAAATAGTGTTTTACTTGGATGCACAAATTTT